ACACCTTCAGTTTGATTTTAAAACTATCATTAAAGAATCCCAGATCGGAAATAAAAATGTGTGCCCGCCCCCAAGATTCTGGAAAGATTGGTGACATATCTATTTTAGAGTTATACATTGTTGTAGCCAATATATATAATTTTTTTAACGATAAATTTACCAGAATATACCGTCTATTTCATGAATGTAATACAAATATATATCACCCCCAAACTAAGCAAATATTTGTCAAACGTCTGATCCATTTGTTGTAATCATTTCCCTTACCTCAGGGCACTTTTAAGAAATTGTCAAAGCTGGGGTAAAGTCTTAATAACGACTTTTTCTTCCCATTCTGTGAAGTGTGCATTAATTAATACCATTCTAGATCTGTGCATGCGCAGACGTTTTTTTTGAAGATGGAATGTCGAGAACGTGGGAGAATAATTATGAGAAATGGCGCGGATGCGGCATTTTCAACGAGACTGAGTATCTTTATTATTGATAAAAAAAGTTCATCGGAAAATATTTCTTCACTACTAAGACAAGCAACTTTCTCAGTAGTAGTATATTAAAAATGACCTGCTTTATACCATTATGCACGAAACATCGGGATGTATGTATAATTTGTACTCAATAGATAATAACGTTAAGAATTCATGTACTTTACCCGGTTAAGAGCCATGATGTATTGAGGACAGACGCACAGAATTACATCACACAAAACTTTGTTCTGTGCAGCCAATCACATCACAGCACGTGACTTAAGGTAGCCAATAGCATTCCCTTGTTTGTTCATATCATGTACACGTGATATTTGTAAAATTTCGACTTTTTGAAATTTCAAAATATTTGGGTGGCTAAAAAGTAAGCTATTTACTTGTTTAATTCGATGTCTTTCTTTCTATTATATAAAACACATAGATAAGATTTTGCCGTTGTCTGTTCAGTTATAGACAACCTCGTACCCAGGGCCATTTTACCTCCACGATACTGACGTCGGCGAAAATGGCCGTGGCCTCTGCGGGTCACATGACACCCTGAATTTTGGGGTGTTTAGTATGATAATTTATGAGCACCTCTGACAACTAGGAATTATATTTGTGATGTTACTCTGAGTGTATATCCACACCGGGCGAGCTTGAAAAATATGCCCGGCCACGGTGGGATTCGAACCTACGACCTTTGGAATACTGGGCTAGTATTCCAAAGGTCGTAGGTTGGCATCAATCTCCCATATACTTCAACAATATCATATTCACCTGAGTTCACTACACCAACACAGAAAAAAAATTCATATTGCTAGAATACATTGGTATCGAAGGAACTAGATTCTGTTCCGAAATATCACTTACTCGAACCGTCCTGACCGCGTAGCTCAGTTGGAAGAGCATTGGGCTAGTATTCCAAAGGTCGTAGGTTCGAATCCCACCGTGGCCGGGCATATTTTTCAAGCTCGCTCGGTGTGGATATACACTCAGAGTAACACCACAAATATCATATTCACCTGAGGACACTACACCAACACAGAAAAAAATTCATATAACTAGGAATTAATTTACATAATACTTATGCAGATTCAGGAATAAAAATTTACAGCTTGTCTGAACAACTTTATACAGTATTAGCGAATATGGAAATTCTCAACAGAATACACATCGCTTTACATAATGCGGGTATGGCCAACAGAATACTTAAAACACAGCAAATACAATGTTTTGATTACATTTGTAAGGGACATGATGTTATTGTAGTTTTGCCCACTGGATTTGGAAAGGCAGTTTTATTTCAATTGCTTCCAGACATATTGCCGACAAAAACAACAATCAACATTGTTATTGTGCTGTGTCCTCTTTCGTCTATCATCGAGGATCAGCTGCACAGTCTTAAGATCATGAGTATTAACGCCTGTGTTCTTCCATCACGTTACGAAAACGAAATTGTGAAACGCTATTCAACAACAAGGAAGATATGGCAGCAGAATCCATTTGCCAGACGATATTGTAAATGGGCTTATCAGCATAGTTTTCGCTCATCCTGAAGATCTCCTTTCTGATGTTGGCAGACAACTTATGAAATCAGATGTCTATCAGAAGAATGTTGTAGCCTGTGTAATCGACGAAGGTCATTGTGTGGAAATGTGGTAAGTAAAATGTCCATGTTATTTATAAATGGATAAACATTTACAACAAATTGCATTAAACTCTTCTTTTAACATTTTTATCTGATTTGTTTTAATTAATATCAGTTTTAGTACTTAATGCTACTAAACTGAGATGAAAGGCAAAAGCTTGCAAACCCAACCACTGCTCCCTCCCCCCCATCCCAGTCTTGCACGTATGCAATTTGGTTTGCACCATCTCCACTGAACACTTACCAGAGATGAAAATGCATTGGTCTGGCTCTTCTATTTCTGGCAAATAAGAAAATCACTGGCAAATTTGTTGCAAAATATTCTACTATATGCATGACAAAAACTTTAACAGTCTTTAACACTTTGGCTGCCAAGGCCTAAGACAAGATTTGTTTATAAATGTGATTCTTATAAAATGTCTTTCCTAGATTTTGCACTATGGGTTTTAACAATTTATATAAGCAATTGTTGTAATGTTATAGGGGGAATGACTTCAGAAAAATTTTAAAGGACTGTCATGTCTGAAGGAAATATTTCCCTCAGTTCAAACCTTGGCCCTCACTGCTACTGCACCACCCCAGTTCATCTTGGATTTGGTTTAAGTGACAACTGCAAAGTAATAAGAAAAAACCCTAACAGGAGCAATATATTTCTGGATCGTCAAAAGCGCTTGAGCAACAACCATGGATACCATAGTTACTCAGCAATACCTAAACCAATTGTTGAAGATCTTTTGACTCAAGGTACAAATTATTCTATTACAATCATATATATGAACTCAAATACTGTGGTTTTGCATACTCATTGTTTAACGAAACTTTAGAATAGAAACAGTATGATGGTTCTGAGAAAACCCCCTCTTCACGATTATTTGCACGGTTTCATTCACCACAAACTAGGAAAATGAAGCAAGAGATAATTACTGAACTTGAAAAAGGTCATTCAGGAATACGTGTTATTTTTGCAACTACGGCATTAGGGATGGGTGTTGATGCACCCTATGTTAGCAATGTCATTCATATTGGACCATCATCGAACTTGGAATGTTACTTTCAAGAAATTGGCAGAGCTGGACGTACTGGACACCCAGCTAAAGCAACAATCTATTTTAATAACTCAGACATAGCTGCTAACAAATGCACCATTAATGATGCAATGAAACGGTACTGTCAATCTGATGGTACTTGCCTTAGAAAAATATTACTCGGGTATTTTGGTTTTCGCAATGTTGTGCAGAAAAATTGTTGGTCTGTTTGCAATGGTTTTGATTACAATGCAGCACAAACAGCGGCTGATAAAATACCTGTTAACCAAACCAAATTTGGACATAATCTGTTGCCATGGCTGTAAATACACGTTACAATCATAACGCGTTACTGTGTACTCGTTACATTTGAAGTAATTTTAACCTGTAATTAATTACGTTTTTAGAAATGTAACGAAAAACGTAATTAATTACAAAAGCAAGGAACGTGTTCCTTTTTCAAGGAGTAAGTTGAAAATTTCTTTTCTTATTTTGTTAAAAGTAAGAAATAAAAAATACAACCTTACGACAAAAATTCAAAAAAATGGCTGAAATAATTTTCAACGAGATCACATGACATGATAGCCTACATGAAGTACTATTTATTGCTATAGTGGAAACCACAATTTGTTCCGAGGCTCAGAGCGCCAAATATTGGCAAATAAAGTTTTAAGATTACATGCTTCGATTTGCATGTAAAATGTTTTAATATATTGAAATATCATCTTGATAAATTCTTGCAAATTTCATAGTTTATACCGTTTTTATTTACAACTACTATTTAAAAAATTATAATATACATAGTAACAATTTGCCGGTAAAGGAATTTGTAATTAATTCCTTTTTTCCGCTGTAATTTTTTCATTGTACTTAATTACATTTTAGAACAAGTAATTATAATCTGGAATTTATTACATTTTAAAGCAAGTAATTGGAATTGGAATTAATTCATGTTCAGAGAGAATAATTGAGCCTACACTTGTATGTTAAATGGAAATTAAAGAAATTTCTGTGGTACGGTAATTAAACTAATTATACTAATTTGCATATGTGAGCTCCCCTTTTAAGTTTTGATCTTTAGGGCTAAGCTTAATTGAAGTAAATTTATAAAAAAACATCGCTTTATGTAGAATAAAAGCCGGCGGTTACTAATAAATAAGGACTGTTGCTTTCCCAGTGAAAGTACTAACCAGTATTCAGGTACACATCTCTTTTTTATGTCGCTCCAACCACCGGTGAAACTCTACAATGTTAAGGTACCGCAACGGGGACCTCTTTATGTTGTTGAAATCCTTGTATGAGCGCCCCTCTATGTGGTTGAAGGGACCAAGATTTATTAGATCTTCTATCATTCCTCTCTCATCTTCCGTCGAATTGCGTGTTGTGTGTTGGACTGATTCTTTTGCCACTCATACAGTCTTATCAAACTGTTCTTTTATCATGGAGATACAATCATAGCTTTACTTACTTTGTTGATGGATGAAAGAGTTTTATTTGGTCCCATTCTTTGCACAATATTTTTGCACAGTTTGTTTGTTATTTCCTGTGCTAAGTCGTCTTCAATATTATTTCCTGTCCCACCTTTCCAATTCACGAAGAAGCCCCATTTAAATTGTTGTGACAACCTCGGTGTGAGGAGGCATTCAATCTGTGCAATGCTGACGAACATTTCGATGGCATATTTACTATATAGGAACCCAGTGATTTGAATACTGATAGAAGAAACTTTTGATTAATGAGATTCCGCTCTCCGTCAGCTTCTCTGGCTGTATCTTTCATTTGTAAAATTAACATTATGAGGAAAATGGTGCACAATCCATAGTTTTTACGTGGTCATCATTGACATCATAATCAGTAAGTGGATCAATTTGCAATACATACTTTTGTACAAATTACAATACAATTCTTTTTCTGTTCGTCTGTACCATGAATGATGTCTTTTGGAAACTCGTGGATTGTTGGCTTATCATCAACACTAGACATGCCAAAGAAATGCAATACTGCAACAATAATATATGCACGGCCAAAGCTTAAGAAAAGCTCTTCGCTCCCCTCGTAACAGTCGAGCACCTTCTTTGGTGTAGCATTACGTCGATCGTATTTTTCACGGAAATATTTCAGTGTTCCCTGATCGCCAACAGATTCTGACATGTACAGTAGACTGTAACTGTATTGTAAGAGAGATGCTTTGGTGTGCCACATTACAGCTTTAAATGGCAAGCAATGCTCAAAACGATCGGTGGGCGTGTGTGCGCCTGCAAGTAGATCTTTGGCACCAGCAAAACGTACTCGGGTAAGTTGATCCCCTCCCATAACAACTTTCATTTCCCTCATCGGATCATCTTGGTCATCCATTACATGGGCTTGCGTTTGGCCGGAGGCAGCTGGCCCGACAGGGATTGGTGGATCATCTGTCTTTGGTAAAATTTCCAGGAGACCAGCCTTGTTATAAATTTCTGAAATCCATTTTCCGTATGTTCTGAGGATTTTAACACAGTCAAAGTCTTGATCTCGGATGCACTGGGCGAAAATTTGTTTCGCGGAAATGCCGTTTTAATGTCACCGAGTGGAGAATCATTAGGCACATTTTTAAAATCAATGCGGACTTCAATTAAGTTTGTTGCAAATAGATGCAGGTCATCATTTTGAAATCCTTTCCTCATGTGTCCCCTTGAGAATTCTCAGATCATAATCATTACCTGTACCAGGGAAAGTTTTCCCAGATTTAATTCTACTTGCTGTCTGGTCTAAGAAATGACCGCCGATGAGGTTCAACAACTTGTCTCATCTTTCATGTGACAAGCAAACTCCTAACTTGTTTAGGTGGTGTTGCAACTAAAAATACATAAAAGATATAGGGAACTTGAATATTCAGAAATAACAATTCGGGTACTTTTTCGCAACCATGAATAGAAAATTTTACCCAAACAATTGGTGGCAATAGTGAATAATTAGAAATAATTATCTCACAGTATCCCCTCCCCACACAAAAATTCGCTTTCCGATTGATTATAACGTGAATACTTTAACAACTATTGCATTAAAATAAAGGATTTCAATATTTACGAAAGGCTGACTTAATTAAAGTAGGAGTATATATTACGTTTTGAAAATTACAGTAGAAGCAACACTTAAACTATAATAGCCATTGACGTTGCTATTGGTTTGTGAAAACTTCATATTTCAGCGTAATTAAATTAAATTTCCAATTATTTCTTACACCAGAAAATAATTCTATTAGCTTTTTGTTAGCCATCGTCGCAGTCACGTTGCTGATTTGCTCTCTAAAGCCTTGTAAAGGTTCCTTTTTCCTGGATTCCCAGCTGACTGTCTCCGCAGTGCTCCAAATGGAATTTCTCTCATGCCTGGGGTTAGCCTAATATTTGTTTTGATTGCCTAATTTTTCAACTTTTTTTATTGCGCAATAAAGCATGTGAACCGCTCATATTGCATTATAATATAAGTGTGATATATCAGACGAATTGATTGGCTAATACGCGTGCATTGTGACGCAATAATGCATTGTTATCTGTGGCACTGCTTTGCTCTTTCTCTGGTTTTTCCCGTCTTCATCACTGCTTTTTAGCTAAAATTATACACAAAATTATAGAGCTTTTAAAATACAAAATTTACCAGAAAGCAAGGAGGAATAAGCCAAAGGAAAAAAGCGATTTTCTATAATTCTACTCATAAAATTAACCGCCTTGGCATTCGTCGAATTTGTTGTTGTCTCGATAAGTTTTGAGTAAAAAGCGTACAAAATAGTCGAGAAAAAAACTTGAAAAAGATACAGCTGGAAGACCAAATACATATAAAAAGGCAACAAAAACTGAATACAAGTGATTTAGAAAGTACCTTCAATTCTTCTGTACCTTCAATTCAATAATTTCGAAAATTAAAACTGATCAGTAATAAATACGACGAAACCTACGATTTACCGTCTTTCATTAGCAAATTCAGCAGCCCAGATGCTGAAAAAATTTGGCAAATTAGTCTGTGTCACTGCTTTTTTATTTCCACAATTTTAAACAATCTTTCCGGCTTTATAGCATCAAAAGTTTGTATATTGATTTGGCAATTTTTCTCCTTCGCTCGCTTAAAAATTCAAGCGACGTCGACAGTAAAAGCATGCGCATGACGTCACTGAGTACATGTTAGCAGAATTTCAATGTCGATTTTGTGAGTAAAATTGTTTACTATGTAATATCCCCTACTTATATTATAAAAGAAATAGAAAAACTCGTCTCGTGCGTTTATGGTGTGATAATGCACTTGGGGAATGTTGGGAGAGTACTCGAGAAGCGTGTAAAACACTCGTCTACGCCTCGTGTTTTACACGCCCCTCTCGTATTCTCCCAACATTTCCCGCGTGCATTATCACACCATAAACGCACGCGACTCGTTTTCTATTTCTTAATTAAATAACTAAACGTTTTAATACAAAAAGCCTCTGGCTGCTTTGCGAAGGAGAATGTGTACCAAACTTGAAACGTGGTAAACCACTTGACATAGTCTGCAGTTGCAGGGTTTGCGCAATAAATTCAGGAAGTTCTATTGAAATTCGTCGTTTTAAAAGAACCCCACACGGTGTGCTTATTTTGCGTGGATATTACGTGGGCTTAAAAACCGATATAAACAAAAAAATCATGTTACTTCCAAAGGGATGTTCGTTCAGTGAGGGAATGTTTTGATAAAACAGTCAAGGTAGTCGCTTATTACTCTAAAGAAAATACAAAATTAATGGTATTCGAGTTCATAAAGTGTTTAATTTAATGGGATGAACGAATGAATCGCAATGTTAGTAACAGTGTCGATATTTATATTAAATTATGGATCGAGGAATACTCAATATGCAATTGAAGTGTAGTCGAAAAATTCAAGACTCGAGTTTCACACTCAAGTTTCGTGGTAAATATTGCATGGATTTGAACAATTCAAGACCCAAGATAAATACTGTTCACCAGTTATTGGACACTTGAACAAGATCAAGTTTGCTTTTTTATCAACTGGTATCGTTTAAATGGATTGTAATAAAATCCTTGTGATTTTGAACGAATATTAATAGATAGTTAATTTTAAATGTGTTCATATTGTGCAATATTTTCATAATTTTCAGAATGTATTATACATCCCCAAACTAGATAATCTACATTTGATTTGAATATGGCCGTCCATTTTAATCTATCAGGGGCAACCTTACAAACCCTTTGTTAAAATTTAACCTGCTATGCAGGTCTATTTCTTTCAAAACTTCAGCGAAGAAAACTTCTGATCCAAGCAATATCCCTTCAGAAATATTACCAAATTTATAAACCAACTGTTAGGAAGCTTGAGAAAGCTTTGGATGGAGATCGAGGGATTCAACTACATGAAAAATACAAGCAAAACGTTGACATTCTATTTCAAGTGAAGGCCATCATCTACTAACTTCCAGACGAAGGGCCTTCACTTGAAATGTCAAAGATATAACTCTAATATTTTCTTCAAGTAGTTGAATCTCTCTCTATTTGAAGCATGTTATCATCACTACCAACATTGCCACAAACTTGTTATGACGCCGGATTGATTTGAATTTTTTCTATTTAATTTAACCCAACTAAGAGTTCAGCATCCCCTCATAAATTTGGGTCGATATGGGTGTGGGTACAAATTAAATGGAATTCAAGTTGAGATACCGGCCCAAAAGAAAAAGGAAAAACAAATAGTACAAAAGTAGAACAAAGTTGTTCCACCTGTGGCCGGTTGTTCAAAAGCCAATTTGCTTACCCTGGAAATGTGCACAGATGCCCCCTACTTTATTATGTTACTCAACCTAAAACGATTTTATACATCGGAATTAGGAGAGTGCTGCCACTCAAAGGGTTAATCCCACTATCTGCCCATGCATTCTGTTAACCCTGTAAGTGGCAATGCACCCAGATGTGCTCACTTTATTATTTTACTCTGTCTAATTCCAGAAGATTTTATTCGTCAGGGGAGAGAGTACTGTCACTCAACGAGTTAAGACTCAAATTAACTGATTTCCAATGATTTATTTAAATTGGTAAAATTTCCCACTAATCCTGCTTACAATGTATGTTCTTTTTACGAAAATTTGCCCTTTGCCAGTAACAATGTATTATTTTGACATTTTGGCTGACCAAACAGAGTACGGGCACATTCATACGTGCTGACCATTCTGGGAAGGGGCATCAAATTTTCATGTAATATTAATTATATAACCTGAATTTAAATTATTATGTTCTAGCCTTTGTTCAAATTTCCTTCACTCTAAATATTTGTGGGTCATCTACCCTCCCACCTGCCCTTGTCTCATACGGGCATAGGAAAGTCCATCAAAGTGATCAAACATATCCTTCAAGCGCATAAATGTATTAAAAAATGTAATTCTCATTATTTGAAGGTCATAATTCACCACAATTCAATGCATGTTTTACCTATCCATACGCGTATCGGCCGGGGGGGGGGCACATGCTCTTCCCCCCCCACCCTCGAGTAAGGCTACAAGAACGATGGATTACAGATTTGGCGCAAAAATTTCAAACCCTTTCTCTAAAATATGTGTAATCGACTCTATTCGGAATTTATTCAATCCTTGAAAACCAAAAACCTTGCTAGCGTTTTCAAACACAGCCTCCATATCGCTTTTAATATAATATTGTGATAATCAGATGTGATATAATTCACGCGTCCGTCCCGCGATGCGGTATATTGCCACGTAAATGTCCCGCGGGCTATCTTACCATTTCCAGTAGGCGATTTCTGATTGGTGAAATAGAATTCTCTCTTCGGTTCGCAGATGGTGTTTCGATCGTCTCGGGGGAGCGAAACCAACACGGTCTGCGGTACGGAGGCAAGTGCTAACTGATCTAGCCTGTTTTCTTCTTCAAGCCTATTTGTAAGTTAGCGGATGATTTCAACCTTGTTAATCGTTCATACGTCATTGGTTCAATGACACAAGATGCATGTGATTTTACTCTGCTAATAGCAACATAAGAAACTCCAGCAGTTCTTTCAGATTTGCCAATATCTATCCATGCTTTTGGAAGTGTATGTTCTTGCCTCTTGTGTATTGTCAGAGCCCAAGCGACCTGAGAGGTAACTGTTGCCTCTCATGGAAACCTCTTTCTGTCGGTGATGTGACAGTGATTGGATAAACTGGGATACACAATGGTTGGTTTTCATTAAAAACAGGTCCTCTTTAGTTTTCAAATTCCACTATTACCGCAATAGATAAGTCAGGTGGTCGATGGTTGTTCTGATAGATAATATCAACAACTGTCCCTGTAGCACCATTGCAGAGGCCAACACTTGACCACAAATTCATGGTTAACATGACCCTAGCACCTTTTGCTAGAAATACGACAGATTCTAAGCCAGACATATCATCTGAGGAAAATCTTTTTGGCCAATTCTGATGAATGGCAAGCATTAATATGAGCAATTGGATGCTCAAGTTTTGTTAGCTGGTCATGGTTGTAATTAGAAACTTGTTGATGGCTATAAAAGAGTCTAGTAGAATCGTCCAAGTCACATAAATTAGTGACATTCGATGATTGACGACGTGTCAGAAGTAACTTCCAGTCTTCAACTGTTGAGTCACCTTTGCGAAGTCGTAGTAACAAATCTCTGAACTGTACTTGCTCAGATGTCATGCCTTGCACACATTGATTTAAAGTGAGTTTAGGAACTTTGTCATACATATGATATGCTTGATAATGACACCCTAGCTTGTTCACCAACAGCGTTTGATGGTTTAGCATGGTAAAGAGATTTATCTGCTACTGGTGGCAATTGACGTGGATCACCAGTTAAAATCAATACTTTTCCTCCAAACACTTTGTCATTATAACCAGTTACTTGTTTAGAACGCTTGTCTATCCAACGAAAAGTAACTTGGCCAAGCATGGAGTATTCATCATGATCAATAATGATGTATCCAATATTAATATTAACACTCTCTTGTAACCTACAGAAGCTTTGTCCTGTTAGGTCTTTTTTACCTCTTGATCCTATAGGTAACTTTAACAGAGAATGCACAGTTACACCTCTAATGTTATAAGCTGCTTTACCTGTGGTAGCAGCGAGAGCATATTTACTTTGCAAAATATTTCTAATAGCATTAATAAGGTAACTTTTATCAGTTCCTGGAACACCATTTATAATGAGACATAATGTCTCTTTATCGGATGATGTATCATCAAAATGAGACTTAACAATATCATAAGCAAGTTTTTTCATTTCACTGAAACTGTTGATGTCAACAACATCATATTGCTCATCAATAGTGTATTCCTCTTTGTTTGTTTTTATCCATGTTGGCATTTCTTGGATTTGTTATTCTGAATAATTGGCTCTGTCAAGATGCCAGTCATCAATGGACTCTGGTGTTTGTTCTGAGTTGTGAAAAGGAGTGTTGAGGTCTGACAATATCATCCACTCTTCTCGAGTTGTCTTCTGTTCTTCAGAACGTTCATCTTCTGATTCTTGATCATGAATTTGAATGACAGCTTGTAATTTATCAAACCAGTCTGGAACATTAGATTGCCCATTAGGTGTTTGTAAAAATTCATGACAACAAATTGATCAGAACCTCGTCAGTTGGTTCTTGATCAACCCATGCATTGTTTTGGGTTGTTCTCCACGGTTTATATCTCAAAAGATGATATTTACAATACAGGCCAAAATTTGGGCCTGTGGGTTTAGGAGAATATGTTGGAAATGTTCGTGGTATAATATTCTCTGGCAATTTTGTCAATTCATTGTTAACAACTTTGTATGTTGTAGCAAAGTTCATATTTATTATATTTTGCGAACTCTCATATTGTTAACGATTAGCATACACATCAAGAAATGAATAATCGGTGCACGATTCACCCTACTCGATACTTGCAGTATCAAGCACTCTACGAAGAATCATTCAGACTGGCATCACTTTAAATGATGAACTGTGAGGTTTTTTGTGAAATTCATGAATAATTAATGATGTTGATAGCCAATCAAAATTCACGGATTCAGTCACATGCACACCCCTGTATACGCCATACAAATGAGATTTTAACAAATATGCAAATTAGTTACAAACACTCGTGGTTGTATCTTTTCTGTTACAACCACGAGTGTATGTAACTAAGTTGCATATTTATTAAAATCTCATCGGTATTATCCAACATTAAGAGATGCATTACAACAACAAAATCACATTTATTTATCAGAGGCGTAGCCAGGGCTGGGGCCGGAGGGGCCGCCCCCCCTCCCTCGCAAAATTTTGCCCCTCCGCCCTTGCAAAATTTTGCCCCACCTGATAAATGTATTGTACTAGTAAGGGTACCTGCAAGGTAGGGATTGTTGCGGGCATCAAGAGCAAATAGAACTAAAAATAGTACAAATTACGTAAAGCATGCACTCATTACTCGCAGAGAGCCGGCGACTTGTGAGGACTGTAGTCGGAGCTTAAGGAATACGGAATCGATTCATGCCACGAGTGTCTGAGAAAAAGCAATGGCCAATGCAATTGTTGCCAAGACCATGCACGGGTTCAAGAGCAAGCACAGATTACAGATAGGCGTGTTAATGTTAATGTTAATGTTTATGGAAGTAATATTCACTAAATCACAAGCAAGAATATATAATATTTTCAAGATCAAGTGGAATTTGTTGAATTTAATACGCGCTGGTTTAGTACGCGTATAAATACAAACGACAAAGCATTCTTATTAAGACGAACAGTTAAATTATATAACACAAGTTTTTGCTATCTGATTTCATATTATTAAGTCTAATACTGCTAGGCGCATTTACTACATTGTATACACAGTATTAAACTAAGAAACCAAAACTTTATAATAAATTAAAATATAGAACTTCCATTGAGTGAACAACGCACGAAGTGCAGTCACGTTATTTTATACACTAAATTATGGCCTTCACAGGGCTTAAAACTTTACTAAACCTTACGCCGAGTGCCTGAGTCAAAATAATTTACAAGTCGAAGCAAGCAAAACAATTAACAATTATTCGCCGAAGGCGAGGTGATTATCGGGGAATATTCGCCGAGACGAAGTCGAAGCAAGCAGAACGATTAACAATTATTCGCCGAAGGCGAGGTGATTATCGGGGAATATTCGCCGAGACGAAGTCGAGGTGAATATTCCCCGATAATCACCGAGCCTGAGGCGAATAATTGTTTCAGTAGTTTTGCACAAGTTTTTTTGTGTTTTTATTGTCCGAATTCATTTTAAATTCGCTTATTTCTTTATCACTATTAAACCTCAACAAAACGGTTAGCCGCCATTTTGAAAATTTCGATTTTGTTATATTCACCTGTAGGTGAATATAACAGATTTAATACGTCAAATTTGACCAATCACCTTGTAGGATTTGTTATGTTCACTTAAACGATATCCTTCAAATACGCCTCAAATATTGTATGTCGACCACAATACAATTGGCTAATTAAAATTTACTTCAAAGCCCCCTCTCTGCACATATTAGAACGCTGCTACGCTCGCTCGCTTCAGGCTCGCTCGCTACGCAGCAATAAAAAAGGGAATCCTTGATTATACAGCTTCAAGTTGAGATCCGTCGGAAAATTGTCAATGTTGTCGGAATCTTTGAGGTGAAGCATCGGAAAAAGTGATATGGAAATCGGGAAAAGTGCTGCAAAAGCAATTGTGATGTCCGGAGCTGATTTTTTTTACCAAAAAAGGTGTCGACGGGGGGGGGGGGGTGGTTTAAAATGTTGTCGTCCGGATAATTTTTTGACCCCACCTGGGTTTTTGCTGGCTCCCTCTGACCAAAAATCCTGGCTACGCCTCTGTTATTTATTCCAATACCAAAATTATTTAATAAGCACCAAATTATTTAACAAGCACCAATTTATTTTCCCGTGCAAAAGTAATCGCAAGAATTAAACACGCAGTTATTAAACACTGGTGCTATTGTATAATTCGTTGTACTCGGTGAAGAATCCGTGTTTTTCGCGTCATTTGTATCGGAATGCACACTAAAATCTGTAATGTCAAGCATTGCTAACGTTTCATCGGAAACATCAAAATCCCAAACCTCATCAAATGTAGACCAATCACTTACACTACTACCTGTTTCCTTCATTGGAGGTGCAAGCACATTACTTACAAAACTAACTTGTTCATCGCTTGGCTTTTCGTACCGAAACAGAGAATCTGATCTGTGACCAGTTTGTTCCCTGATTTGTTTTTCTTCTACAGTACGTTGAAACAGACGAGTAGCACATGTTATACGCAAGCAGTGTGAAGTTTTTCTCTCAATACCTGCCTTCGAACATAACTTATCCGGTAATATTTTAGCAAGTGTATTTATACCGATAGCACTCTTTTCGTACGCAAAACAACCGCTTCGGTGCGGCTTGAAATGAAAAGCATTAGGATTCGCCTCAATGCACATAGCTATTTTTTCCAAACACAAACTATAAAACTTCACTAAACAACGACTATGCTCCTCGCCTATTTCCTGGCATTTATGCTCAATAAGCCTTTTACTCTTTTTTAAATCCTTTAGCCCTCCATGAAACGTCTTTGACACACTTTCGTCAAAAATTATAAAGTTATCTTTTACTGCAATATTTGAAACTCTGATGAGCCTATGCTCGCTTGATCTTAGACCGAAAAGCTTTCCATTATAAAAATAAATCGTATTTAACAGACACTCAGCTGAATCACACCACAACAGTCCCTTTGTCCAATAGAGTCCGTCTTCTTCGACACTAATTTCACCGCGAAGATCCTTTCTACATTTCACTTCAACTCCCTTCTTTGCAGCATCTCTCACTTCGCCGTCAAAAACTTTGCGAAATAACGTGAACCTTAAAATACAAAACAGAGATTTTAGAAGAAAGATCGATTAAAACCAGCCACACCAATTTATTAGTTTTGTCATGTCAACCATTTTAAAATGCTGCCTACTCATGCACCTTTTATCGTCTTTAAACAGTGGATCCAATCCACTTTTATCGCTCAAATATCGCTTCAAACTGCAAATTATAACATACAACCTTCGTGCTGGATATCTTTCCCCCTTCGCGTTGCAAACCTCTTCCACAATCCGACTCAGCCACAGATTTAATGTTTCTGTATTCATACAGTGTAGTGGTGTAGTCAAGTCTCCGACTTGACATATTTGTAAGTTCACTGAACTTGAAGGCACATTCCTAACAGTCTTATCTTCTCGGCAACTTTGCCATGGTTCGAAAACATTGACTGCCCGTTTTATATTATATCCTGTATTCTTCGGAATAGTACTGGCAACCAAAAGACGCTCTTCCTCTGCTGTCAAAGGTGTTATGTACCGGCTAACACCGGGCGGGAGTCTGAACCTGTGCTGGCGGATATAAGCCGTAAGTGTTTTGATATTAATTATGAACCGTTTGGTAAAGGTTTAGTTTAGTGATTTAGTTTTAGTGATTAATATTTAGAGAAATATTAATAGTCTTTCAGCGCATATTGATGAATTTCGAGTTTTTATGAATGAATCTGATATTGATATTATTTCAATCAATGAAACAAAACTTGATTCTTCAATTAAGGATGAGGTTTATATACTTGGTTATGAAATAGTAAGAATGGATAGAAAAATAAATGGGCGACATGGGGGTGGTGTTTATATCTATGTAAGATGCAATCTTAACTACAAAATTTGTAAACATTTAAGCTCTGATGAATTAGAGTATCTAACTGTGGAAATTACTAAACCTCGAACTAGATCACTATTAATTAGTACCTGGTATAGGCCCCCAGACTCACCAGTGTGCCATTTTGATCATTTTGAGAAAATAGT